GTTCTCATGTCTGAGTAGGGGCACCAAAGGTGGTAATGGCATTCCATCACTGTATTCCATTAAACTCTCTGCTTTACTCCATAAGGATGTTGCGAAGGCGAACCTCAGCTTAACAGCATTCCTCTGTTTATACCATTGAAAATTTGTTTTCTGACGTCGCACTTTCGTGTTCATCTTTGCTGGATCATCTTAAGATCAGTTCCTTCTGTAGTTAGATCCAAACACCTCGCTCGGTCCTGATGGCCTACATACTGTTTCTCAAGACCGTGGCTAAGTACATTGCAGCCCTAGCTTGTCATGTGTTTCGTTACTCTATTGAATCCGGACGCCTTCCGTCAGCCTGGAACATGGGCATTGTCAAGCCCATATATAAAGGAGGGAATCGCCAAAACCCAGCGAACTATCGTCCCGTTTACCTAACATCAGTAATATGTAAAATTATGAAACGGATTCTCAAGAGAGCTCTCAGCCTTCACTTCGACGACCAGGGTGTGATTTCTACTGCTCAGTATGGCTTCTGTAAGTCACGCTCATGTACCACCAATTTGCTTGTTTCCAGAGTGAAATGAGTGAATACACTGGATGCGGGCAAACGTATGGACGTCATCTACGTTGATTTCTTCAAAGCGTTTGACAAGCTTCCTCATGAGCGGCTTTTGTTCAAACTTCAAGGAATTGGTGTCTCTGGGAGGGTTCTCTCGTGGATCTCTGATTTCCTTTCAGACCGAGTTATGCGAGTTAAGGTCAATGATACGTATTCAGTCCCCGTCCTTATGAGCAGTGGCGTCCCTCAGGGCTCTGTTCTTGGACCATAGTTGTTCAAATTCTTTAACGACCTTCCTTCAACTCACCGGACCGATTGTTTGATCTAGGCTGGTGATTTGAAGTTATGGTTGGAGATATCCAATGTTGAGGATGCTGATCGACTCCAAAATACATTGGTCTGCTGCACGATTGGTCAAATAACTTTCAGTTGCCTATAAATCGCGATAAATGTTCTGTACTCCCCATTGGCGCTACTGAACCATTCGGTGTTTACCACCTTGGCGGTTATTTGCTTAATAATGTGAAACAGGAAAGAGACCTTGGGGTTATTACATCCTCTGATCCAAAAACGATTCAGGATACTTTGAGGAGGGTTGCAGCGGCCAACAGACTACTGTGCTCTATCTGAAGAGCTTTCTCGCGATTGACTCCGGAGATTTTCAGACTTGTGTTTTCCTCCCATGTGCTTCCAATCCTCGAATACGAATTACCCGCAGTTCATCCGTTTACAAAGTTTGAACATGGCTTGATTGAGAACGTTCAGCGGCGCGGTTCTATGTGCATCTTTGAGCTACGACACCTGCCATATCACATTCGTCTCCAGCACTTGAATATGTTCTCTGGCATATCGGCGTCGCCGAGACGATCTGATCTACGCCCGGCGCATTCTGCGAGGTGAGATGGAAATCGAGCTCCAAGGTTTCTTCCAGATTAACACTGAGTGTTCGACTCGGGGCCACTGTCACGGAACCTCACTATGTAAGCCTCGAGGGGCTACATGGTGAAAAAATAGTTGAGCTTGATTATGCGGACGATATTGTCTTCATCATGATCATCGTACATTAGTTGAAGATGAGAAGCACACTTGGGCTCACTGTGCCACGATACAAAACGATACTGTCTTGTCTTTCTATTTGGCGATGTTTTGACGTTCCAGTCAACCCTGAATAACCGCTCTAGAGTCGTAACATAGTTTGGCATGCGCTTCGCACTTCAATTTGCAGTGTCGTTGCAGCACCACCAGCCACTTGATGATCCATTGACTCTTGATAACGGGGAGCTCATGGTAGTTGATCATTTTACCTATCTTGGCAGCTTCATCGGCACTAAAATCAGTTAACGCATTGCAAAAACCAAAACTGTGTTTTTGGACCTGCGGCGTTCAGGCGTGGTTTCCGTCGGTCTGTAAGGTCCTGTGTACATTTCCACAGTGAGGGTCATCCTATTATACTGAAGTGTGACTTGGTCTCTTCGGTTTGAGGATCTGATACATCTTCAAGTCTTTGATCATCACTGCCTGCGAAGCATTGCTGGTGTCGGATGGTACCAGCGTGTCCACAACTATGAAATATGTACGTGAATACTAGGAAGTGACAATCAGTCTAGTCCCTCAGAACACCCAGTAATATTTAAATCATATATTGACTTTGGCACGTGTCACGTATGCCCGATTGCCGAGGAGAGCTTTTTCGCGTGTCGGATGTAGATTGGCGCAAGTATCGAGATGGGTAAAATTTAGTTTGGCAGCGGTAAATGAATTCACGGACTATAAAGCTTGGTCCTATTGGTCTGTCTCGCCTTTCAGGCTGGAGTCCACGTGACTCACCTTGTTATTGGCTCGAGATGTTACAGGTCCTAGCCCGTAGTTGGCATCAGTGGCGCGTCTGCTACCGTCTCCTGGTGTGACTGCCTATGACGCGGGGAAGTGAAAGCCCAAAGGAAGCTATCTCGCTGATGCCGCCTTATCTTTGAACGATGACCAGCTGTTTGTGACGGTATGTTGTTGGCACAAGGTGTAGACGCCTTGACCCTGAAGTTTTGCTTAGGGTATTGACCCATTTTCTGCTGTCGTCTTTTTTAAAGAACACGTCCTTAAATGCGCTTTAAGCATTAACCTGATTAAAACTAACATGGATAGGGTAAAATGACTTCAAACTAATATAGTTTAGTGTCTTTTCTGTAGGTTCAGTCACAAAAATTGTAAATACTGCGTTAATTCAAGACCTTAAATCACATTTAAAAACATTCCCTAAAAAACGCCAGCAGAAAATGTGGTGAGGCCATACGTTAGGTCTCCCATTCTGTCCCGCAATTATTCTTCATTCTTTCATCATCAATACACGTTGGCTGAGGGTGCGAACCACACCTCAACTAAGGTGCCACAATACAAAAATAAGAAACCAAAAAATTACATCACAAAAATTCCAAAGCAAGTAATGTGATGCCAAATATTATAATGTGCATTTTGTATGAGATCGGAGTTCGAGGGGAAAGCTAAATGGATGGAGAAGGACAAACAGACTCACAACACAAACGCCATTGGGGCCGGCTCTTCTCCATAACAGCAAGTGTACCCAACCAAACGTGTTCATCGTCCTTGGGACCTCGGACTAGCAGTCGGAATGCACCAACCGACGCCAGCTTCAAAGTGAGGGTTTTCATTTCTCTCGACCAAGTCATCGCTTGGCCTCCTCTTCCGACCGCACCCCCGTTGCGCAAACAGTGCACCTCGCGGGAGTCGGTGTGCTGGCATGCGCAAAAGCTGGCCAAGTTATCGGAGCCTGGTGCGTGGTGTAATGGTGCTGACCGGTTCACTCGCTCCTGCAGCGTGTACGCGACGCCGAACACTCTCATTGCTCACGCGGTGCTCCCATCAGACATGAGCTAAGTTGCGAAGGCAGCGATGATCGAACTTGACTAGCTACTTTATGGCTGTCTTCATTCCTTAGGTCATTGTGGTTGTACATCAAGGAAACATCATCTTAATGCTTATGTGTAGTATGATGATGATGATGTCGACTAGGACGACGACGATGATGATGATGATGTTGGTTGTACTAACGATACGAAGCCTAAACTAAGTACGTCGTGCGAAAACTAAACTAGAAACTACGAACAACTAAACCTACACTTAACGCCAGGTCTGGGCAAAAGAATAAAACGAATTAGCATGTAACCGTGGTTCTATAAGGCATATTAAATACAACACATGACTTGCGAATATATTTTGCGATCGTAGTACAAAAGGACATAAATTGTACAGCGTGCGGCGGCGTGGGAGTATTTGGGCAGTGTCACAGTAACATAATCCTATGAATGCCCTTGAAACGTCAAGGATATGTCAGTGATCGAGTGAAAAGAATAAGTGTACAATATAGTAACCGATTGTAGGACATAGTAAAGCAACGTAAAATGAGCACAATAATTGGGGAATAGAGCTACCGTGTCCTCATGTAAGCAATCCAGTTTGGGAATACATCAAAGTTCCTTTTGTACTTTACCATGATGATACAGACTGAGAGACTGAGACTGTGTTTACGAGCAAATAGTGGATTTTCTGTACAACTCTATCAAATTATAAAAAATCAAAGGCCTTTAATTACGAATTGTCAGTGGTAGTGTTTTGTCATTTAATCATTTATCCTTGTTTGCTTAGGAATTCGTATTGGTGTCATTATTTCCGGGTATATGATGTGTTTGTTTGCATTGTATCTGCACCGTTTCACAAAAGTACAGGTTTCCGAAATAATCGTCGGTACGTGTTTTGAAACACTTCACAGAATCGACCTTTATTAACCCTTCTGGTAGTGTATTCCATAAGTTTACCATTCTTCGGTCTATACGATGCTGATGTGATACCCTGTTCATGCATGGGACCCTGCGTTTGTAGCGGTGTCCTCGGGTGTTACAGCTGAGATATTGGCTGCAGTATGAGGAAGTGATTCAAGTGTAGTACTCGATGGGCCATACTAAGGTCAATGCTTACTCTGCGGTAGGATAGTGTGTAGAGTCTGAGCCTTTCACGACGTTTTTCATACGGAAGCTTTCGTAGACTGGGTATCATTCTAGTCGCGATGTGCTGTATTTTCCCCAGCTTTTCCGCTTCGCACTGGGTTATTGGATGGTAAGCCGGGACGCCGTATTCAAAGATTGGTCTGATGAGCGAGATGCGTACGCAATGAATGCTTTCTTCAAGCCATGTGGAGAAACTGTTAAGTAATGCCCAGAGCGTACGAAGTCCCGCGCAGTACAATTTCTCTATTTTCTAGTGACCTCATATCATGTTGTAAGAGCACTCCTAAGTCTCTGACAGATGTGTTACATTGCTATTATGTTCATAACTTGGTGAGCATTAATTCTTACAGGTTGGGTGAACCTTTTAACCTCTGACTAGTCATGTGGCTCTCCATAGTACTGCCCACTGACACTTCACTCGGACAACGTTCAGCTGTACGATGTTTCAGCGGGGTATTAACACTAGTTTGCTTTTTCTTCTGTTCAATTCCATAGCGTCCGCCTGCTCTTTACTACTAGGTATTGCACAACAACAATCCTTGTGCGATTTGTAAAGTCTCTCATTTTCTTTTTCTCAATCTTCTAGCTACTTGTGCAGAGCATGGTGTCTTGGCAGTACACCAGGAAGAAGCGTCGTTAAAGGGTATCCCGTTTACTCGATCCGCTGTGAATCGTTCGGTGCCTGTTGAGATTGTCTATGAAGTGCACACAAATAACTTGCAAGTGAGTCTTTTATCTTGTTTAAGAGTCGAGTGTTATGCTTGTTTCCATAATTTACATCTGACTCAAGCGCTTATTCCATAATCCCGTGGTACGTAATATGTTGATAAGTGCAGTGTTTCCCACCCTGGAACTCCTACTTTTTATCACAGATTGTTGTCTATGGGTCGATGCACGACCCGTTGCCGATCTTCTTTCTTCTCAAAGTTGCCAAAATACAACTGTCTACAGTATGCACATAGCCAATTAAACTATAAACTTCACCGTAGGTAACAGCTATGGTAGATATGTAACGGAATACGAATATTTCTTTGCCTTTTTTATCATCTCATTCTTTGTTTTTCATTTTTTGTAATTGCAACAATAAACACACCTACCTACGTAGGTTTACACATGGTTTCTCTCACTAAATCTGATTCGGCGCCGTATCTTTCAGTGCTTCCAGACAACGACATTCTTCGTATTTGGTTCCCTTGTTAGGTAGACACACTAGATATATGATAAATCAGTACTTGGTGAGTTGACCTTCACTCTTTTTCGCTGCATGCCCTACACGCGCAACAACGGCGAGCTTTTCTAACGGTCCATTTGACTTGTGTAGAGCGTGGCCCAGTCATCTCAATTGGCACATTGGCATGTGTGTGCTAGGATTATCCATGTTCAAAACAACGTCTAAGTTCATCGTTGAAAACGCGATGTTGCCACCACATTGACGATCCATCGCAGACATCCACTCACAAAGGCCAAAGGACAGCACGTCCTATCAAATCTTTCAACACTTAGTGACACACAGCAACCCTGTATAATTAGTGGCCTCGTGAACTTTACTCTTTACCTGGGACGACACGTCTCCACGTCAATTTGTCAAACACTGCTTGTTCTTTGACGATGCGGATGTATACCTTACTAGTATCGTTGTTAACAGAAACTCAGTCCCCAGATTGACAAGTCTGTTCACATGTTTCGGCTGCTTACCTAACTAAGTTGGGAGATCATTGTCAACCCGAGAGCACCTTAAGAGAGGAAGGATCATAACATGCTTCAATCATCTAACGATTCAAATTGAATTATACAGTCTGAGGGTCTCTTCCGAATAAAATGGTATCGCCAGCATAATCTGAGCTGATCACTCTGTTTTCTGGGATCTGTTCTGCGATCAACTCTAAGATGCCTTTCGGAACTCACATCCTCAGTTTCTAACTGAATGTTATCTCAAACTTAGCCATTCCACGAGTTGCAGACCCTATCCTGCGTGTCTCTGAATTCTCATGGCTCTTAAACTGTGTTCCATATCTCTGTCTTTTGCTTTCTATTTGCCTTTTGTTTCCTTTTTCCACCATAATTATATAATTGTTTTGAGGACGGCAACCGGATCCAACGCCTTTCGCTGCCCAGCACACACTTGGTTGGCTAAACTGGATTGAATTGCAACGTTGAAGCGCTATGGTGGCACCGAGAAGCTCCGTCGCGTACGCCACCGGTAGCAGTTGTGGATGTGTCGGAGAGTGACCGTTAGAGTATAAGGCAGGCGTCTTGTAATCTGAACGTCATAATGGTCCGAACCAGCACAGGTGCGGGCGACCTGTCAGTGTTACTAGCCGGTGCGCGATCGATAGTTGTCGCATGGTAGCTCTGGCGTGTCATGTCACTGTACTACTGATACTTTTTTTAATGTGGGCTTTCACCCCCTTTTAAACGTGGACAAATAGCGGTCGAAGAATAGTAGTATACCATTGATGCAAATGTTGCTAACTCATGTCGTTCATTTGGTGGCCGAATTGTCTGAGCTTGTCAACTTTGCTACCATTTTACCTCCATCTAAGTAATATGGACAAATTGCCAAACTCATTGAACAATTAGGTCCTTAACTTGCTGGTTATTTCTCAGGGACCTCGTTTTCACATACACAGGCCAGTTGACCGACTGAGTCAGTTGCAGTCTGGATGTTTAAGAAGGTAATAATGGTTGACCCATGATAGGTATTGTGATGGGAGTATACACTCGAACGAACGTGCGGTGCCAGCCCAGCAAGGAAGCCGTTAGGCTGCCGCAAGAAAAGGCGGCAGCTGATTGGGACGTTCACACGTTTCTCGCATGAACGCTGATTGGCCAACAGTGGACGCATTGGAGTTTGTTTGACTGAATCAAAGGAAAAATGTCATGCATTCACAAAGGTCCTTAATTATGGATCCAACTAGCTGCGTATACCGATATGTTTCACTCGCCCTCTGCCTGCGTTTTCGCCTGGTCCGTTGTTTGCAGAATATACCTTTTGTCCCTGAAGGACCGACTTTTAACAGGTATTGTAATTCTAATCGACAGAGAATTAATATTTGATCCACACACTCTTGCTCACACCGGTCACTGGTATGTTCCTCACTGAAGAATGTTTCACAATGTGGGTTATTTGCTAGCTTGGATGGATGCCAGTAGCTTGAAACATGGGACAAGACCCACTGCATGAATACTCTTGTCAACTGTGGAAACTATAACCGACTCACTCACTAAAAAAGGGACTTATTTTCTAGATCGTGGTGGAACAGAGCTTTTAACTTTACTCTTTGTTACGTTTCCATACTTAAACCGTTTCGGAGGAAGCTGATCTATGCAGGGAGACTTGGAGCACTGCAAGCTTTCACTTCTTTGATTTGTTCTAGTGAACCTGCCAACACACACAAACAGATGGTGATGGCCAACCAAACTGTTGCCTCTAACTGCCTATGCTCCTCTGAAACTTAATGACCAGTGACTCGTGTTTCTTGTAAATTACCCTTCTAATGCCCGGGTTCTAATTGTCAATTGTCCTAAGGAGCTTAATATCCCGCAAAAAGATTTCAGAAAAGGTTTCAATCTCCATATGCGAGGCGCGTTAGAACCACCAAGCTTCATGGGTGGTGCGCAGACTTTGTGTGAGTTTCCGGTCTGGATAGCGGCGCATTTTATCACTGTCCGACCACGCTGCGATGGTACGTTGGTGATCCAACCGTTCCGGGGATCGGACGGAGATCCAGCTTTTCTAGAATTGACAAGTGGAGCTGCAGATTAATCAGTCAAAGGCGAGCGCTACTTTCTATTGTAAACTCCATTTACTATTTGCCATCATGAGGAGAATCACAGGTGACTGCGTCTGACAGTGAATATTGTTAGCTAAGCTGGTTAACGTGATCGTGTGATTCGTTCTTTCCAGTTTCACAGAGCCTTGATTTCGGGGTACCCCCTTAAGCGCATGTAAATCTTAGCACTTACTAGCAACTGATCCTAGTCGCAATGGGTTATTTCCCCATCAGCAGAAATTAATTGTAGTGATTTCAATTTGAGACTACATTTATCTCAGGGTAGAAGGCCACCGAGCGCTGGAGCTTCTATTATATCTTAAGTTAGTGTTCTGGGGAGACAGACTGCTATCTTCTCAAATTATATGATCAGATAAGTCTGAGCAGCTGTCGCCTAGTACGGGATGTTTCCCGGGTTAGTTTCACGTGACAGCTGACGCCTAGATCGCACATTGAAAAGTCCAACGGTGATAGATATCCGATCCGTCGGTTTTAGACAAAAGCCGATCAAGTTTACTATAACGTTGTCCTTGACTTAGTCACAGCTGTTGTAGTCAGTCGGGGCATTGGTGGTGATCAAAAGCAAGTGGCGTTTCTTCGCGACGGTTACTACTTCTGCATCAGCCATGCAGTGGAACTGTATATGGTTCGTGTTACTCTGGACCCAAAGCAGATGCCTGGTTTCCTGTCTAATTTTGCATCCTTTGCATCCAAATCCGGTCACAGTTGCTTCTGTGCCACCAGACAATATTCTCTTGCTTGGGCGATGTGAAGTGTCTACTGAAGTACACTACTTCGACGCTGTAACCTGGTTTCAGAATGACAGCAGATGTCAAAAGCAAGAAACCGCATTGTACGCTCTAGATCTCCCTCTTATCTACTTGGCATGGATATCCCTACTTCGAAGCATGCGACTATAACGGCCGAACGTGGACCGTTATTATGAGTCTTTTCAGGAATATTGTAATTATTAACGGATAAACATCTGACTTGATAAAGGTACTGGGTCGCGAACACTGCCACTGCTGTAGATCCCTTTGTAGCTGATTCCAGGGGTTTTCAACGAGCAAAATTATACATGTGTAGCCAAATTAAGATAGGAGTTGACTTAATGTATGCGCCCCGATCCTCTGACCTGATCCAATAGACTTGACAATAGAGCCAACTTTTAAAATCACACCCGTTGGAACTCCGTGGCCGATTTCTCAGCTCGCACGTCTTTTATGTGACGAGTTACCAAACAAATACCATCTCGTCAATACGATGTTTTGCCCTAGGTTGCAAGGGGCACCACCTTTACTACTTGGTGAGTCATATCTAACAAGCCCCAATGTTTCTAACCAGATGTTGTCGTCATCTGAAGAACGCTTTCAGGCGAAAAAATTTATGTCATGGACCTCTGCTCCCGAGTTACAAAACTTAAACCACAGGTATCCTACTGGAGGTGCGTAATGATAACCTTTCTGTTTGCAGTGTACGGCGTTCAAATTTGAGGCGTGAAATAAATCCGCTCTACCGTAGGGCTTGCGATTTTGAGTTCTCAGAAGATAAGAACCTCAACCGTCTCTCCCATGCTGTTCATCTCGTTGAATCTAGGCTCTAGCATGATGCACCAGCTGACTTGTCTTCGCATTCCATTGAGTTAAGGCAAGTACTATCGCTGTTGTGGAACAGCTGATTGCTTGTCTTCTATCCTGCACAAAGGTCTCAGGTAGGATGTGATTGCCTCATAGTTAGTTGAAAGTGTTGAACGGTTATTTCGCTTTCTGTTTCACGGAAATAGTGTAGAGAGCACGTTAATAAGCAATTCATCCGACTTGCTATGATGCCACCGCTTACCGAACTAAACGAACTCACCTTGGTCATTTACAAATTATGGTATGGATTTATGTAGCTAACAATACTCCTCACCGGATACCGTTGCACCACAGTTGCTCAATTTTATCTCGTCTCACTCATGTGTGTCTTACGCTGGGCAGGGGTTTTAAAGCTGGTAGGCATCAACTGTTTTCTCAGTCTTAGTGTATCCATAGTGTGGTGTGCCATTAGAAAGTGCAGCTGCACCAGGAGCCAGCAGTTTGGGAGGAATGGTCAATTCGGACTGGAACCGGTCGGTTATGAATCGAACCAAGGTCCTAGCACAAAGGGAATGACCGGAAGACGCAGTCGCAAGTGTGCGAAGAAGATATGCGGAAGCATTTGTTTACCAAAGTTTCGAGCAAGTGCGCAACACGCGACATACCGATAGACATTCACAGATGAGTGATGCCGTGGATGGTCTTATCTAACACACATCACGGATACTTGTTGATCCAATAAACAACTCTTCGCTCCTCTTGGCTTGTGCGAAACCTACCAGGAATGAGTTATACCGTTTAAATTGTTTCGGAAAACTGGTAGCTCGGGTTGATAATTCACTTGCTCATTCGTTCGCCGAGCTGGGAAATTTGTTTGCAAACGTTTCACCGCTCACATACATCATCCTACAATAGTTCGATGTTCAGCAAAGTTTGAATTGATGCAAACCAGCGTGATCCTTCCGCTTCTACCTAACTTGCGTTAGGCACACATTTGCAAAGTGCCAGATGTTGGAGCAACCCTGTTGGGCAATTAAATTTTGCTTCTGGTAATTGCACATACTTGTAGTGCTGTCCCTATTTGATGCGGATGAGAGGGAATTTCTCTGCTCTCTGATAGGCCTGCATTGTTGATGTTGTTCATCCGGGCTCCTCTCTCCATTTCTCCTAATCTCGGCTGGAAACGAACACGCATGACCACTTTATTTGTTTCCCCTAGACCGGTGCCTCTGTCTGACAACCGATTGCCAGAATCAATATGCATGCGTGAACCGAATGTGCTAATTTCAGATCTAGTCACTCTAAAAAAACCTTTACAGGCTGCTGCAAAGCGCTGTGTTCGTTAGAATGTGCTTTACGCTTTCGCGTTACCAAATTCTGTTACAGGACTGAGCTAACATGTCAACTATTCTCTATGTCACAGCACATGTTCCGAAACGGATCGATCGCCACAGGTGGATTAGGAGAATCCGTGTGATCTTCTTGTGCACCAGTGACGTATGACATTGATGAGACATCAGCGCATTAATCGTTCCGGTGGGCCATTTCTGCTGTGTAGTTTCGCAAGATGGGCGCTGATTGTTAAAAATATTTGAAGATGTTTCTCATGGATCATAACTACCCTCAGACTATCGCTGATGTTTTACGCCGATACGTCCGGCGTTGCATTGGGTTTTTAAACTTAAACTGCCCACACTGGCTCGACTAGGTTTTTCTCGTATCCGCCGACTAGTTGCTCTCAGCGTGTATTGCTTGTCAATGCTGCATCTATCCGAGCAAAAAACCATACGCCATCGTTCGACAACATGATAAATGATCGTATGAAAACTGAACCACCGAGTTGGGTTGATGCAGTACGTCATCTTGGGTGGAACCACTGGATCGATCGTACCAGTTGGGGAAACGCTACCTGACATGGGACATTCACGAAGTTTCTAACGCTCTTTCATCCGACCTGTGTCATGCCGCTTAATTTTATATCATGGGATTGCTACTTATCTCCCTCTCTCTCTTCATATTCTTTGTCTTCAATGTATCTCCTTTTCGAGGATCATTCCCCACCTTTTTTCATCCCTTTCCTTATCATGATGATGCGAATCATGACTACCGGATGCATCACATTTCTGCGCTGTGGTCTATATTTTATCACTAAAGCGCACTACCCTCTCCGTATCTCTTGTGTTTGGCTTTTTTCAGGGATATTCCATTTCTTGGATGCACAACGGTGGTCCTATCAAAGTCGAGGATAACGCAAATAAAGAAGTCTATTATGCCGTCCACCACGAAGAATACGGCCTCAAAGTACTTCTACACATCAGTCTACCAAGTATATTGTCTGTTTTTCCTGTTATCGCCCTCACTTTTCATTATGCTCCGCTTAGCCGCCCGTGTCACTGGCAATTGGACCATGACTGCAACAACAGCCGGCGCTGAGGAACACGTCGCTTTGTGTCGTATCTCTTGTAAGTTCCTACGCTTATGCAATTAGACCTTCACTGCACGCATCTATGCTACACCCCCTTGAGTGTGGGTAACGATACAGTCATCTATACCCATGGCTTGTTGGTTCGTTATTGTCGTAAGAGTGTCGTACTCATTAATGGGCCTCTGCACCTTCGCCCCAGCCGTTCAGCAATCCTGTCAGTGTGCCCACCACTGCATGAACGATACGAATCCGGTCCACATGTTGTTTCCTAACTTTAAAAGCATCCAATTTAAATGTGCACTGTTGGGACGAAAGAAGTCACCCGAACACAATGACCTTCACCGCTACGGATGGGTGTAGGCGATCTGTCAACTGCTGATTTGGCCACTCCCATCCGCATTGTCAAAATCCATGGTATATCATACTGAACTCTACTTCAACAATCAAATCTCTAGATGCACAGGCGCTCAAACTAGACAACATCGGTCACCTCACTGGCGTCGGTTGAGGGCCACTTCTAAACTTACGTAGACCAGATCCCCAGTGAGTCACGTAAACCACGTTCTAAAAGATGGGCTGGATCGGTGACGCCTATGTTCGACTACCAAGTCCGTGATTGTTCTTTTGGCATCCTAAGTCCGGCAATCAAAACGACACTTCGGTAAACAGTGGGAAAGCGTGCATAGCACTTGCCTGAATCGCGCAGCTCCTTCTGTCTGATGTATCCGCATAGCAAGCTGGTCAGGTCATCACATCTTCACACTCGCCTGTCCATCTCATCGTTGCGGTCACTCAAGTACCACTTGCCCTGTAGGCAGCGATGACGAAAAGTCTTAAGATTCCTAGAACCTTTAGCTCAAGGGAGCCAAGTCTCATTCTCGTAACAGAAAGCGGTCCTCACCTTGGTCCTGTCTACACGGTCAATTAGCTCGAGGGGTCTCTCCTCTTAGTGTTGTTTTGAAACGTTCATAAAGGTATTTCCAGCTCTAACAGTACATGAGCTACCTTCATTAGTCGCCCGCCCATCGGTGTCAAAGCACCTGTCGAGACAGGTGTACTGGTCAACTATCTCCAATTTCTCTCCGCCAAACATCCATATAAACAAGTTAGTGGTCGCCTTGTAAAATCACCTTGAGCTTTGAAAGACGCATAGCATATACCAATGAATAATAGTGTTCAGAGTTGATTGTTTGCGGTTAACTGTGTTGCGCCGCTAATAATGGACTTGCAAGAAAATGTTGTCCACATGTCATGTATTGACCTACTTTTCTCAGTGCAGGGTACTAACACGTTATTAGATTCTACATGGAAATGTTACGTAGTACTAGTATCCACTTTAAAATTGATCAGAGATGCGTAGACTGTGTCTGATTCCATCAGTTGTTTGGGTGTCTTCATAGGGATGTTACTAGTGTAGGTATATGGGTAGTTTGTATCATTTGGGTCTGGATTTTCACAATACGATTACAGGTAGTTTACTAACGCGTGCCAGTACCATTATGGCGACGATGTTCACTACTGCCGAATCCTCAAGTTAGAGAATTTGTGCTTACCGTTATACTCCCTCTGTCTCCTTAGAATAAACAGCAGTAAACAGCTGGCAGAGTGCCACAACACGAGCAAAAGCAACAGTCATCGAAAAGGTTAGGAGGGTTCATGTGTTGCGTGGGCAGTGCGCTTCCCGGTTACCCAGGCCGAGGACCCAACCCCGAGCCTTTGGTTTCAAAGACCTGGCCCGTAAGGCAGCGTGGTGATTCACACAGATTTCTGAATACAGAGACCGTTGACAAACAGATGGCTCATTTGCCTTCTTTGTGTTTGGTCGCAATCCACAGAGAAGCTGGTGGTCTGCAACTTTGTTCATCCGCCCTCTGATAAATACTCACCTATGGATACAGAAGTGAGTGATCAGTGACTTTATAGCCGGTCACATTGGCTTTGACACAGCGCCGTACGAGCTCTTGTGGTATTTGATGGAGAACCAATTAACCAGCCTAGAACTCCCCACGCTCTGAGGCGCTGTCGCTGATTGTCTACGACTGCTTATTCATGGGCCAATGGACTTCTCTGCTACTTTGACTGAGCGCTTTGCCTGCAAGTACTATTTCGATGGTCAGGTAACCTGCAAATGTCACGTACTTGTTCCAAGTTTAGCACGGCATTCGCGACCTCTACACTCAAGATTTCGCGCTCGTAGCCACCGGATCCAATCTCATTCATTGTATTACTTTTGGTTTCGCCATTACTTGAGTGCTCGGCTGAGTAGGTGCGGTACGATGTAACAGCTCGGATGTCTCGCATGATCGAGTGACGTAATAAACATTTTTGTCTCTTCTTGCCACTCTTTACTTTTTATTTCCTCCGGCCGGTGGCCAAATAGTTCGCTCATTCGGCTAGTACCCAGCGGATTGCCTGCATAGGCTCACGACCTTGCAATTTCCGATCCCTCATTCGGCTGCTGATAGTTGTTGTACAGTTAATCGTCGGTTCCAGAGCCAGGCGTATCGCTGATGCTTTCATATTTAAGTGTTTAAAGTGACCTGATGTGCTAATCGTACCCATCCACCAGGTGTGTTTCCTGAGCTACTTGTCTGCACGCTGACTACATGACGATTGTAGCTCCGTCTTGATCACCGCTGTCGCCCTCAAGCAGCTTTTCACCAGTGCGTGACTTCCCTCCTGTACACTTTCACGTGTGTGGCTCTCTCTTCTGGCAGGTAATACGGCGAATCCGAACATTGGGTTTGTATATAATTTAATCCTTTAGTCGCTTCGTCATCGTGATTCTCATTTTTCTCTGCCGCCTGTCTTTCCCATAGCACCAGCACCCATCTTTGACCACAAATGGGGTGCCGTACGTGCGTACGAAGGCGATCCATTATCGGTTACATGTGAATTGGAATCATATCCCCGTCCTTCGGAAATTCTATGGAAATATTATTCAGAGGGTCGCATTTGGGTCTCTGTGCCTAATGTGAGTGTCCTTAGTATTTTCTCATTTGGTTTTACATGATGCCCTGCTCCACTGGCTTTTATCTTGCAACATACCATAGTCACCATCACTCATACGTTTTTTGTACACCTTTTACACCGCTTTGTTCCAAAATGCTACACTTTGACACAGTCTTATCATCGTCTCTTCATTCACTTCGTATCATCCGATAATCGCCCCAATTTATTGATTGATTTGTCCAGCTAGATGGCTGTCGCTCATCGTAGTCACATCAATGAATGGGGCACTTCAACCGTCTGGAGTTCGTGTGATAGTTTGAAATCCTCGTTAATAAATAATAAGTAAATAGCCAGATGTACGCTGTAACAGCGCTTCGCTGCCACGCGACCACCACCAGTCGCGTGCTGGCTGAGTATACCGTGAGGACGCCCACCCCTACACGTGTTCGAACCGGTGACGTTATGGTTGCAAACCAAGCGCGTCAACCACTCGGCCACCGGCCGTTACCTGTGGAAAAGACATCATCAGGACTCCTTGGTCAACAAGATGGCGTACCACTCAGCGCTATTCGAAATACTTGTGCAGAAAGGCGTTCCCATGAAATATGTGAACGTCATCATGCATTGCATCATGCATTGACTTACAATTGATTTCGGATAGATAACTGAGGAATTTTTTCTCTTCCCGTTTGCAACCACTGTATATTTGCCTTCTCCATTCTAGTAAGAGATGAGGTCAGCAGCAGCAGTACATCAACCATTTGAACCGATGATTCGATACCATACAACCATAACATCTATGGGATAAACAATACTAAGAGGGAGAGAAGAGGGACTTACCTGAAAACCTTAGTGCCCTTGGCAAACATTCAGAGTCAAGACGCCTACGCCTTGTGTTAAGAACATACAGTCACAAACCGTTGGCTATCGTGCAAAGATAAGGCGGCATCGGTGAGACAGCTTCCTTGTGGCCTTAACTGTCCCACGTCATAATCAGCCATTACTCCGCAGATAACTCAGCGCCAAACGCACTTTAATTATGCAGTCACATCAGGAGACGGTAGCAGACGCGCCACTGGTGTTGGCTGTGAGCCATGTCCTGTAAAGTCTCGAGCCAAACACGGTGACTGTCCCTTATCCTCTGATCTCCATGGTTTTCTGTTGGCTCTTTGTCTATTTGTTAGACTGCTGAGAACACTCTTACTCGTACACACGGGGAGTCACGTGGACTCCAGCATGGAAGATGAGACCTTATCGATGGCACCGAGTTTGGTCGTCAGTGACTTCGTTTCCCGCTGCCAAGTTAACTTTTGTGCACCTCGAGCCTTGCGCCACCCTACATCTGGCAAACAAAACAAGGCCTTACTCGACAAGCGGTGACCGGATCTACATAGTACATGCCCAAGACAACGCGTCACTCAGTGCTATTTCTTGTTCTAAGGAACTATCTTCCTTATCACTGCCTGGCACCCGTCTACGCACATCATGGTTGGGGGTACACTGGTGCCAGCCGACACTAGCAGTGCTACACAGACAGCGATGATCGAAGACTTGTAGACGCCTCAGATTTTCATATCGAGGGGGCCAAGTCTCATCCCCATACAGTAGGACGTCCCTCACTGTGACCTTGTAAACACGGCCATTTAAACGGAGGAAAACCCCTTCCGGACGACACAGATGTCGCAGATTCGGAAAGGCAGTTCTAGCTTTTGCAATGCGTGAATCAAATTCAGCCGTTATGCGCTCATCGTTGCTGATGCAGTTGCCAAAGTAAGTGAATTGATCAACTCTTTCGAGTTCCACGCTACCAATTTTCAAGTGATCATTAGGTGACTGGTGGTCCTTTCACAACACTGCACTATGAAGGTGTGAAGCGCATACCATATAATGGTATCGCTGTGGAGTGGTTATTGATGGCTGGTTGCGCCGCTTGAACATAATCAAATGACAAGACGATATCGTGCACTTAATCAAGATCAACTATCCTTGAGAGATGAGGGTTTTTCAGTGAATTATTTTGACGCGCTTTGCCGCAGTCAGGTTCAGTTAGGCATCCGAAAAAGTGTTTTAACACCGTTTCTTTCCGGTGGAAGTCGTTACAAGCGCTCAGCTTCTTTGAATCTTATGAGGTTTGAAGCAACGGCTATTACCCAAGATAGAGCGATTTTAGCTGTTTCACTTGGCTCCTAGGCACTTTTTCCGGGGTTGGTACATCGACTGTTAATCCTTACTCACCTGGTATGTAATGTGATCTGGTTTTTTGGCTGCTTTACGCACGTTTAGCTGCTCTTTGGAGTCCTCCCTACAGATGTGGGCTAGTTTGACACCGTAAGTACCCTTAGCCGTGTACTTAGACATCGTCTGTTTTGTGAACTCCTTACTTTTCATAAGTTGAACCCTTACCGTGCGACCGCAGGTGCAGGGTAGCCCTGTTGTCGTGAAGGTACATTTTAAACTCACGACACACGTCACCTTGATGACATGCAGATTATAACGAGCGCTGTCTCTTCCCTATGTGATACAGTCAGCGTGTTTAGAAATCCTATGTGAATTGCTGCTTCAAGTCTAAAGCCTACTTCGTCCCTTTGTTTGCGTGATTAGCAAAGTCAGGGGTGATCTGATGCTAACTAGCCTGAGAAGAAGAGACTTGGGAGAGAAAGCCGGCGGAAAAAGTGAAAACGTTCAGTGATGACGTTCTGCTATCAGTAAATGAGACTATGGCTACGCATTCCAATGTGGGTTTTTATTCTTGGGCACCCACATCCAGCCTACTACCTAAGAGCTTGATCTACAGGATGAAACTCTCGACCAGATAGTCTGATTTTCAGTGCATTTGGAAACACCTGTTAGTAAGCATGACTCTGAAGTATCCCATGACATTCCACTGGGAACCGGTCAAACGCATTCTCGTGAGGTTTAGAAACCTTGATATGTGTTTTTCAATCGTTGGCTTCCGTTTTTTTATCTTCAGCTTTTAGATCACTTAAAAAACGAATCTACTGTATCTCAGAGGATCAGGAGTAAATACTAACCACTATGTTGCTCAAATCTGAACTCTCTTTGATACCTCTGCTCTTCGCTCACACATTGAGCGGTAATATCATCCTGCCTCTCAACCACACGTGTGGATTGCACACCATTTGTTTGTTGAGTCCGTTTTTTAGAGTTGCCATTTTTCACTTGAATCGAGTGCGGCTGATCACTCGTCCGTTCTATTCCAGGCCACTTTTGAAAATCGAGATGGAGTGCAAAATGCTATTATGCACTGGCAAGACGCGTCTCAGCACAGCGGGTTCTACATGTGCAGTGCTCACTCTCCCGGAGGCTCTGATAATCTAGTGCTGGAAGTCCGAATCAAAGGTGAGTCCCATTCCTGCTTTGTGCTTTCACCTATCCCCCTTCGGCGGGCACACTCGTTTTATTGCCAAGGGTTCACAGCTTGCACTCCTCTTTCGCGGTTCTACTCATACACTTTGGCTACAGCTCAAACAACTTTATCGATTCGCATTTAACCTAATGGTTTGTTTGCATTTGAGGCCGTTTACCGGCCACCGAATTGCTTCTTCTTCTTCGCTCTTTTAGCAGTTGGGTGCACTGTATTTGTCTCGGCACAACGTGACTGGACCTTAACGTGGTGCGACGGTTTGCGTACCTCCTTGACCCATTGAGCTATACTGGGTGGTGCCTCCGGGCCCCTTGAATGCTACTCTTACCAGGCTGGTGAATGGTTAGAGGTCAGACGAACTCAGTCTCCTGGTCCTGCAGGTTGGGGGTTTGAAATGGGATAGAGTTCGTTCCTGTAAAACTAAATCATTGCCATCTCCCCGCTGCCTTGCGGACAGGCTTTTGAGCCAAACGCTTTGGATGAGGATCCTAATCGTCCTCGTTTCTCGGTCTTGGCGCCGTGGCAGTATCTTAGCCCAAATACAACCATGAATTTGTCTTCCAACATAAACTTCATCCTGCATCGGTCGTCGCGCAGATTATCAAGGGTCGCGTTATCTCCTGCATACAGCAGGGCGGATAAACGAAAACATGCTACTGCTGGCGCCTCCTTTCTTTTCCACCTTTTTCTCTCACTCCCATCCCGACCCCCATTTCCAACCTTCTATAATCCCCAGCTTAATTGACAGCAACCGAAGTGCCACTAGAATAGAATTATCTGCAGCCACTTCGCGACACACACCGAACGCCTATCAGCAACAGTTCCTTATAAGCCCACACTGTCCCATTTGTATGGCGACGTTCAATGTTCGCACTCTAAGGCAAATAGGTCAACAGGCTGCACTCGCACGCACCTTGGACACACTGGGTATTGATGTGTGTTGTGTGTCCGAAACTAGGATCAATGACCCTAATGGGGTTGTTGAATTAACTGCACCCGGCTTATCCTCTCGTTATTGGTTGCACGCATCCCGAGACGCCGATGCAGCACTCACGGGTCAAATTGGTGTAGGTATCATTCTAAGCTCCAAAGCTGAGCCATCGTTGGTTGATTGGACTCCGGTGAACAGCCGTTTGTGTGCAGCCCGTTTGACGACATTAACTAAGGTTGATTCACGAAGTAGTACAAAACGCTGTTTGTTTGTGATTTACGTTTATGCTCCTACCGACTGCAGTTTTTTGCTACCATGGATACATTCTATGACGAACTGAACGCCCTACTACGCAGTGCTACTAGTTTAGATATTATAGTACTTGCAGGGGATATGAACGCACAAGTAGGGCGTCTGGGCTCTTCAGAAGCTCAGCTGAGTGGTACTTATGGGCTTAACTCCGAACGGGCTGACAACGACGAGTGTCTGTTGCAACTGTGTGCGGAGCACCAGTTATTTTATTGACACTGCTTTTAGACACAGTGGGCGCCGAAGTGCCACTTTGCGTCCTCCTGTAGCTGGCCAGCGATGGATCCAAATAGATCACATTACCATAACTTATCTGACGTGGTTCCATCCTAGATTGCCGCTCGTACTGGAGTACCTGCGTCGACTCTGATCATGCTTTGGTACGCTGTCGTTTATCCATGAAATTTACCGGGAGGCGCACCAAGCATCTCCTCCGATTGACAACTGAGAAGTTATACCAGCCCTTGGTCAGGCAAACCTACCAGGATCACCGCGTAGGAACTTTCGCTGTCTTGTCCCAATGACACTGAGCTTCAGTGGAATAGGATCTCAGCCGCCATACAAGACGCAGAAGCATGTGCTTGTGGCACTACCAAACGTCACCAGGCCAGCCACAGGATATCCAAGAGGTCGGTGAACCTGTTGGAATCCAGAAGAAATCTCCCGGCCTGCTCTGAGCACAATATGGTCAGACGGACTATTAGACGCGAACTAAGGCGGAACCTGCTTGCTGACAAGGAAGCGTGGTGAACCAGTAGGGCTCAAGAAATGGAGGAGGCAGGAGCAGTAGGCAATTACCGCAAGCTCTTCCAGCTGATCCGCACCACTGGTCTCAGGAAACCAGGCGTCAATGAGACAATCAGAGACCACGTGGTGCACTGATCTACAATAAGGAGCGCCGGAGGGCTCGTTGGGCGAAACGCCTTCACACCACACAGCGTGCTCCCTAAATTCAGCTTTGACCTTCAAGACCAGTTCACTTGGCACCCTGCTTTTGGACCTCTTCCTACTCAGGTGATACAGGATGAGCCGTGGACAGTTAGTATAGAGGCTCCATCAAAGGCTGAGGTCCGAAACTCGATCACAGCCCTCCATCGTTTTCGTGCCACTGGCCCTGATTTCCTCCTACTTGCACTATTTAAGGAAAGAGGTGAGATCCTCTGCAAGGCACTGACCTCCCTATTCGAACTTATCTGGAAGGAAAAGTGTCCCGGCTAACTGGAGTGAATCGATTATAGTGGCCATCTACAGGAAGGGCAGTCGCACAGACTGTGCTAGCCACAGGGGTATTAGGCTAACGCCAGTTGTGACAAAATTATTGGCCTCGATTCTCCTTCCTCGCCTCACTATGGAACGGGAATCTCGGAGTAGCGAAGTGCAGGCAGTTTTCCGCTCATGACGTGGTTGTATAGACCATATATTCACTCTGCGGCAGTTGCTAAAGCGGCGCCACGCATACTGCAAGCCGACAGTGGCTGTGCTCCTCAATTTCAAGAGTTCATTTGCTTCAGTCGATCGATACATTCTGTTCGAAATACTTGCGCGGAAAGGTGTTCCCACGAACTATGTGAACATCCTTCATGCTCTATACTCGAACACTACAGGCCGCGTCAGGGTCTACGGTGGCCTATTTGATAGCTTTCCGACCACAGGTGGCGTCCGTCTGGGTTGTCCGATTTCCCCGTTTTTGTTCAGTTTCATCGTGGACTCCATCATCGAGTGTCCCCTTACCGAATCTCACGATGTAGGCGTTGAGTTCCTACCTGGTGAACGATTAGTTGTTCTTGATTATGCGGACGATATCGTCTTGCTTTTTGACGATGTCAAGGCTCCCAATCAACTCTGAATAGCCTCTTTAGGGTGGTCCCATTATTTGGTATACGCTTCGCACCTTCCAATTGCAGTGTTTCTGCAGGACCACCAGCCACTTGATGACCCCTTGACCCTTGCTAACGTGGAACTCGAGGTGGTTGATCAACTCCCTACCTTGGCAGTTGCGTCAGCAACGATGGGCAGATAAAAACTGAAGTCAGTTCACGCATTGCAAAAGCTAGAACTGCCTTCTTGAACCTGCGATGTGTTTCGACAGAGGGGTTTCCCTCTATCTGAAAGACCGTGCATGCATGGCCACAGTGAGGGCCGTTCTGCTCTGTGGAAATGAAACTTGGCCCCTTTGGTCTGATGATCTGAGACGCCTTCAAGTCTTTGCTCATCGTTGTCTGCGGAGCATTGCTGGTGTCGGATGGCACCAGCATGTCCGAAACGATGATGTGCGTAGGCGAGCACTAGGTGGTAATAATCCTGCTAGCTCAGAACGACAAATAGCACTGAATGACGCGTTGCTTGGGCACTACTACGTATGCCTGATCACTGCTTACGTAGGACGGCCTTGTTTAGTCTGCCAGATGTAGGGTGGCACAAGGCTCGAGATGGACCGAAGTAGATTTGGCTGGTGTGCGTTCGTATTCGTCATTGCTTAGTTTTCCTTCTGTCTGCCGGTAATTATTGTGCCATACTCTTCTCTCCACTCATTTTATAATAAAATGATACTCACCGTGAAATAATAATAATAATATTATTATTATTGTAGTTCGGAATATTCCGGAATGCTGATAGCTCAGGTTTAGTTGTTGAACTGCTCCCCAAACCGAGGTGAGCAATTTGATGATGAACGTTCCGTCACTACTCGGGGCGATGTCACCAATCGGGGTGATGGGGCTAACAGTTCCGTTGCAGATACTGTAAGCTTACAAGTCCGGATTTGCGGGATGTTAGCTAGTTGGTTAGGGTCCAAATGTGCGCCACCTGGCTTTGTGACTGGGGCTGCGGTTGGGATCACAGAGACGTCAACTACCTACTAAGTAGGGGACTTATATTCTTTGACCACTTGTGTTTGCTTAGTGCGGTCCATATTTGTTGGGTGCACCGGCCATGTGGCCCACAGTGGAGCTTTTGCTGAACCTGAACCATCTGCGTTCGTTTCTCCATGCCTATTCACTGCTTATCTTCTGTTTACCTAACCGAATGGATATGAGGGCAGTGACTGAAAAACTCAAGCGGATTAGATCTAGGTCACTAGATCACTTGTTTCTTTAGCTAGAAACCCTTTCCGTTCTAGTAACCTTGTAATCACATTAACGCCGTTGCATGCAGTCTATCGTTCTTGTCCCCTGATGTCGCTTCTCTTCACTGTTGTTAAGTGTTATTGTAACTGATAATTTACTATTCAGCTCTAGTTTGATCAGCTGAACTACATTAAACACAAAACGTTGCAGCAGTTACTGCACATCTTTAAACGCAATAAATATCTAGAAGGACAGGTGTGGGCACAGTACGTTTCAAACTTTAGAAATTCTCAATCATTCACTCATCATTCATTTTACACGTTAGCTAGAGGTGGAAAACACCTCAGCCCTTGTGCAGCAATATATGAGGGGGGGGGGAAAGACACAACAGAGGCATACCAGGTGAACCATACATAGCGGCTAGACATCGTTCCGAAGAGCTAGCAACCAGCTATTGTGCCGTAATAATGTTATATTTTGTGTCAGAAATGAGATCGTTTTTGGATGGGGAGGGACAAGGGTGCTCACAGCACAAACTCCATTGAGGTCGGATCCTAGCCAAATCAACAAGTGTATCCAGCCAAATATGTTCATCGTTTTTCGTGCCTTAACAAGGAAGTTGACAGACTTCAACTGAGGCCCGTAGCCTAGAGGTGACGAGCTTGCCTCG